GCCTAGTTACTGGGGGCAAGCAGTGTGATATGCCAGGTAGTAGAGTTTCCTTGCTATACTTACCCCGTTCCTCAGTGTATCCCTCACACATATACAGTGATATGTGTTCAGTGTGTCTTAAGACATAGTAGAGCTGACTAGTGATGATTAGGATTGGTTTTCAGTTCAGTGAGTTTATTAGCTCACCTGGCTCGAAGGCATCCAGCAACTTATTCCTTTAAAACGCTACTAGCCCTGAACGGCTTAAAGGATTTTGATCAAAGGGGCAGATGGGTGGGGCCCATTAGGGTAAAAAGCCTTCTCCTTTTGTACCGTTGAAGGGATTTTAACCAAGTTTGTTTTGGAGAATCTTTGAGCAAAGGGAATTAAATATTTATAAATGGAANCCCCCCAATTTGTTTAATTTGTATAAAAAGGTGCATGTGAGGCCCAATGGGGGAAATAGAGGAAAATTGGGACATTACATGGAAACTCATTTTCTTGGTGTCTTTCCCACCAAAACAGATTTATATCTAGTTCTTCTTGCAGCTTTGTTTCTTGTACTCCTTTGATAAACCTGTATGGTACTCAGCAGGTTTTAAATTGAAAAATAAAATACCAGGTGAGCTGTTAAGGCCCCTGGGCCTCTTGTTCTTGAAGGATTGGTTTAACTTGTTGTTTGAGTTTATTCAGGAATTTAATATTTAACCCATCACACGAGAATTAATTCTAGAAGGTTCAGTTTAATGCATCAATCAGGTCAACTTATCTGGGAGTTAACTTTAACTGAACAATCTCACAATTTTATTTCAGGAGATTAATTAATAATTGTGTTTATTGTTGGAGGTTCATTTGAACTTGCCAATCGTGTGATCCCGAGTTTTTTTTAGGTGATTCAATTAAACTTGTTTACTGAGTGAGTTTACCATAGAAGATTCAGTTTAACTTACTGAGTGAGTTTACTCTAGAAGATTCAGTTTAACTTACTTACTGAGTGAGTTCACTCTAGGAGATTCAGTTTAACTTACTTACTGAGTGAGTTCACTCTAGAAGATTCAGTTTAACATACTGAGTAAGTTTACTCTAGAAGATTTAGTTTAACTTACTAACTGAGTGAGTTCACTCTAGAAGATTCAGTTTAACTTACTTACTGAGTGAGTTCACTCTAGGAGATTCAGTTTAACTTACTTACTGAGTGAGTTCACTCTTGGAGATTCAGTTTAACTTAGTTACTGAGTGGGTTCACTCTAGGAGATTTAGTTTAACTTACTGAGTGAGTTCACTCTAGGAGATT